GCTGTGCACCCGCCCGTGGGGGGCTGCCACGTCCAGTACTTCTGCATGGCGGCCGTGCTGCTTGCGGGCGCGGGCGTGGTTGCCTTCACGAACATGATGCGCTCGGCCATCCTGACGGTGATGCACGCGGTGAGCTTTGTGCTCTTTGCGGCGCTGTGTCTGGTCAGCGTGACAAACCACGTTGCTCCGAGCGACGGCGGAGCGAGGGCGTACGCGGCAATGTTGCTGCTGCTGACCACTGTGCTGCTTGCGGTCACTGTGTACAGCGTCGTTGTGTGGTACGCGGAGGACCGCCACTGGCAGGAGCTGCGCGAGCCGCGGCGTGGTGGGCTGGAGGCGCTGCTGCGCGATGACGGGGAGAGCGACGAAGAAACCCAGAAGCCCCACGACAGGACGTCATCGTCGTACGCCTCAGGCACCACCGTTGCGTCGTACCGACCACCCGCGCAGCTGCAGCCCATGGCCTGTGACACCCGCTCAGACGCCCTGAGTCTGCTTGAATGTGCATCCAGTGCAAGCTGCGGCATTAATTATACCGCTCTGGACAGGTGAAGATGCTCCGCTTGACGAAACACTTAGCGCAGTTTCTTTTTTAGGTGTAAGGGCTCCGACCCAACAGTACCGTTACGCGGCGAGAAGACACAAGGCCCCTCGCAGATGCGGCATGACGTAGATGCGTCTGGCAGGTATCTGCTTTCTTTCCATTATTAATAGATTGATCGGGTGATTGATTTGTTGCTTTTATTTTATTTTATCGATTATCGACGACAAAGGATTATCGAGCCTATCACGTTAGCTTGGGCGGATGCGTAACGTGTGTGTGTGTGCGTGTGTATGTGTTTTGCGCCCGCCGCTGCAGCACCGAATATGGGGGCTGGTACTCTCTCTTTTTATATCTGTACTCAGTAGTGAGGACGTGCTCGACGACGGTGGCTGGTGTGCGGGCCATAGGATGCATTCAGGAAAGCGTTAGGGAAAACAGTCGATGAAGCCCTTCTGTGACGCGTCACCTCCTGGAGGTTGTGAGTGTGCGTTGCTGTCTGATATGAGGGAGGGCGTGGGGGCCACGGCTGTGCAGCTGCGCAGCAACTCATCGGACTCCGCCCCGAAAGCGTAATCGATTGTTGGTTTTTGTTTTGTTTCTATTTTTGTGCGGGTGCCTGCAGTGACTCTCTCTCCTGTTCCACGATGACTGTGTGGGAGGGCATGCCTGTCGCTTTTTATACTTATGATGTTGTGTAGTGAAAAAAAAACAGGAGAAAGAACGAAAAAAATATGCGGGTTGATGTATTCCTTTGTGTATGTGTATATATATCGATGTACTTCTGTGGGTCATTTTATTATTTTCTCTTACTCTTTTCTTTTTTTTTTTTTACATTTTTACGCACGTGTTTTAGTGTTTGCTTTAGTACGGCCACACACGGGTAGTTTGAGTCGCGGGTAGTTTTTCTTTTTGACGACATTTCCTGTTAGGTGCTGACGCGGGCACGTTCGTCGAGCATCCACTCTCCACAGCATGGTGCCTGGTATTTTGGAGTCATCCCGGATGTAACGCCGGCATCACCGCCGTGGCACGCAAGGGAAGTATAATTTAACGCGGGACAGCAAAGATATTGCGCTGCAGTTGTGTCTGTTGCATTTGTTTTGTAGAGGAGGTTTCAATGTAGAAGAGGAGGGATGAACACTGCACGATTCTGTGGATTGGAGGAGTTGTTGCCCCTTTTTTATTTTTGGTATGTTCTCTGGTTCTCGCCCGTGTTCGCCTCGATTGCCTCCCTTGAGTGGAGCTGCGCCATGGCCATCATTTTTTTTTTTTGCGGGAGGAAGAACACATTTCGAGTGACGAAACCACACGTCATGCATGCGGCGTCCAGGAAGGTACGTATTTGAGGTGGAGTGCACATATGTGGATGTCATGTGAGACGAAACGGGGGCTTGACTGCCTAGCCGTCACTCCTTTTCTGGAGAGTGTGCTCTTCTTTTTGTTGTTATTGCCCTTTTGTGCCAGGGCACGGCGGGATTGAGGGCCACCGTCCCACGAAAGATCTTGTACACACACACTCTCATGCCACTGTAGCCCCGAATCCGGGAGCAAACCCAAATCCCTGCTGCTTTTTTGCATTGGCGCAATTATTCATTTATTCGTTTATTAGCCGACGCCATTCTGTCCGGCGTGCTACTTTGATTGGATTGTGTGGGATTGCTCGCCAACGCCATCGAAAAGAGCAGGCTGATGTTTTCACGTATTTAAGTGCCATCTTGTGCGCAATTATTTTATTTTCACGTTCTGTTGGGCAATTAAGTCGCGAGGAACCCGGAACTATGCGTGCGTGGAATTTGTCCTGCCATGTGGACTACAGACAACACCGAGGGGCTGTCACTTTTACCCCGCAGAGTTATCGTGTCTTCACAGGGCTGGCAGGGAAATTCCACGCAGCCTGCTAGTGCTTGTGTGTCCTTAAATGTCATTCCATGCGAAATAATGTGCTTCAGCGAGTGAGGGGGATGATTGCGTTTGCGTGCACTCTGCTTCTGTTTGCTACTTTGTGCGGAGCACGCAAGACTTGAGGGATGGGAAAATGGAGCGGGGCGATGCATGGCCGCGTCCAGCCCATTGCTCACCGCACAATGGTGTGCTGCACATTGTGGTGCTTCCTCTGCGATCTGACCGCGGCCCCCTGCGCGGCAATGGTGGTGGGTGGAGTAGAGTGTTGGCCCGCGGCGGGACGGTGGGATTGTGTTCTCTTTCTTTCTACTTTGAAGGTGCGCAGTTATTTTTGGTTTCAGTGATGGGGCAAACAGACAGACAACGTGAATAAAACAAAATAAATTGAAAGGGCGATAATGTGGCGGTGCTGGGGTCGATTGCACGTTGTGTTGCTGCGGAGGCGGTGGGCCTCGACTGTTTTGCTGACAGGCGTTGCAGTGCGGCTGCATGCCGCGCCGACCACCGAGCCGTTCGAGTGCCCCGCCCAACGCCATTGGGACTGCGGGACCGAAGCAGCCGCGAGTGTCCTTTGGAGCCAGCGGCACCTGCTGGCCGCAGTTAGGCGGTGCGAGTGGGATGCTTCACCCCACGGGTGTTGCGATGACGCATTGCCGCGGCTCGGGCGATGCTTCCGACGCTGCAACTCGCAGAGGAGTGGAGGAAACGCAGCGGCCAAATTGGACTCTTGACAGTTGGCTGGATAAAGTACTGCTGGAGGGAAAGGAACGCACCGCCAGCATGAGGCCGAATAATTTTTTTCGGAATTATTTTGACGGCAGGGGCGTTGAGGAATTCAATGAGAACGTCTACATGAAGGACTTTTTAATTAGCCCCAATGAGTTCATCCAGGACGAAGTGTGATTGAGCACAATAAAGGCATCGCCGCCGTACCAAGAGCCGAAAAAAGAGCGTGAGGAGTTGTGCATGCTATTGGGGGGCTAAAATAAGCTTACAAAAGGATTTTTTGTTACTCTCAGGAAATGGAGTGACATTGAAGGAAAGGATACGGTCAGTTCTGTTGCGAGGGCACAAGTAAACACACCCTACTCTTATGTACTGAGAGAGGCGAGGTGGAAAGCAGAAGGAAGGGCAAGGCGAGAACGGCAAGAACTGGGAATTGACGTTTCCACTAGTATTAAATATGCGGTGTTTAAAGGAAGAGTTCAAGTGGATAAAATGAAGCTGAATGACTTTCTTACGATGGAATTGGACGGCAGGGGCGTTGTGGACGCCAATCGGGATGTCTTGATGGAGGAGTTTTTAAAGAACCCCAAGAAGTATATTTGCGATGCCGGAGTATTGGGCGAAATACAGGCATCAGGTCATTATTTGAGTATGAAGCGAGCTGTGAGGGATGAAATGGTTTTCGATGAGGATATGCGCAACCTTGACGAGAATGGTGTGCATAAGCTACTGAAGTGGTTGCTGGCTGCTGCAGAGGTAAAGGCAAGTGTTCATGACGTCGCTAAAGGGTTTCTGGGTGTAGCCGTCGAGGAAGCGAGGGACCCAACGACGTCGAGCGCACCGATATACCTGAAGGGATGCTCCGAGTCTGTGTACAATGCGGGGTGGCATTGTGTCGTGGAAGTCCTGGCGGCGAGGGGACGGGAATGGAAGCGAGGGATGGGGAACCACCGCATTCATGGACTTACAAGGCAGTTGGCGTGAGTCTCGAAAAGGATGACGGTGTGGAGTAATCCGGTGCAAAGCGTCTCAGGCTGACGGTGCTCACCTCGGAATGGGATGGCCGTACTCGTGGAAGGAGAATAAATTTTCTCGTGACTGCCATGTGAACTGTGAGGTGGAGCGAGTGTGGCAGACCGTCAGGAATGATCTAACCGAATTGCTCAGCACTCACCCTGGGACCTACTTTGAGCCTAGGCGACGTGTGTTGATTGGGACGCCCGGGATCGGGAATTTGATGGCTGCCGGTTTGTACCCTCTCCACCAGCTGCTGCACTGCGATGCCGAGAAACTCCAAGTGGTTGCGCACAGTTTTGGTGGAAGTACGACGTACGTGTTTGAAAAGACCGTCAAAACGGTGGCAAGATACGTGGGTGGTGAAGCATCCAAGGAATTTTTGTGTAATTTATGGCGGCGTGGGATGAAAGGGTATGTTATCTACGATGTGACGGAGAAAGTGGCACCGCCAGCAAGTTATTTTGTGCGTTATGATAGATGGGTCATGGTTGTGGTGGCATCGTCAAACGTGCGCAACTATGGTAAATGGATTAGGCAATCAAACGCCGAGCGAATCATCGTGAATTGCCCAGACGGGATGGATATGAAGGCGATGTGTGCATGGATGAAGCGCGATGGGATTAGAGATGAGCAAGCGGAATACTGGAAGATGGTCAAAGAACACATGTATTATACGGGACCGGTCCCACGTTACGTTTTTGATGCGAATGAATTCATTGCACACGGTGCGGCCATTGAGGATGCCTTGGACGGGATCAAGTCCCGGGATGGCGAAAAGCACTTCATACATCGGGGAGTGAGACTATTGTATTCTGAGAATCCGTCTCAAAAGCTCGTGGGTGTTGTCCGAGCGAGAGGAGAAGTCGGTGCTGAGGGATTTCTTAACGCACCGATATATTTTTGCCTCGGGCGTCGAATACCGCACTATTTTGGCAAACGTGATGAGTGAGAAAGATATTTTTTTATGTTGTTAGTACTGGGGAAGAGGAATACTATTTTGTCCGAAGGTACGGGAAGGTTTGGCTTGTGCGCGTTTAAGTTTGGGGGAGTCTGTCAGTGCATTAGTAGAGGAACCCAGGAAGCCGAGGCCACCAGCACTTCGTGGAGGAGAGTACTCGGTGCTGAAGGCGAACCCTGAAGGGCACCCCACCGAGTTATATGTGGATTGGTCGCAATGGAATACCATAAAAATAATAATATCAAGTACGGAGTGCTGTACACACCGGAGACGAAGAACTTTCCGCTGGTGGACGGTTTTTTTTCTTTATGGAGTCGGATCCAATGACGCTGGTTGGGCTGCGGATGACTACGGCGGGTGAGCACCACACCACAGCCAGCACTGTGAGGCTGTTCACTGAGTGCCTGGCGGCATATTTTAATGATTGGGAGGAATTTGCTCAAGGATTGTCGTGGGAGATTATTTACGTGCAGCACGCAGACAGCACGGCGATAAATGGCTGGCAGAGGTGTGGTGCCGTCAATCCCAAGAGTGTGGGCAATGATGAAAGCCGTGAAATAGCGGCGTTTTGGAAGGAAAAGGAGCGCCAGTACCAAGTGTCAATATCATCCGGAGAATTTAGAAGAGAAGAAGCTCACCGAAGTGTGGAAGGACCACCGAAACAGGAAAATAAATTAGGGAGGGAAAGGGGCAGCTGTGACTTCTGGTAAAAAAATTATTGTGGGATTTATATATTTTTTGATACGTGTGTGTGTGTGTGTGTGTGTGTGTGTGTGTGCGAGGGATAATTGGAGAATCGCCCCGCTATGAGGGAATCATTGTGGCTGGTGGTGTTGCAGTAATACTGCATTGTCCATTTCCTTTTATTGTGTTTTAAGGCCCATCACCAACAGAAGCATCTCAAAGGGATGGACGACGAATAAGTTCTAGAGGAAATGGTGCACTCCGTGTGACCGCATGGAGTGAGGCGCCGCGTCATGGGTGGATGAGGAATCACCTCCGTGTGTGGCTCCTTGGGTGATTGTTTGCTCGGTGTGTGTTGTGTGTTGGCTGCGGGGCTGTGGCCGTATCCCGTTGCCCGTGGGACTGAACTGGAGGCGATGGCGGCAGTGTGTGTGTGTGAGGGCTGGTGTGGAGTTGCCGGCCAGGGTGAGGGCCGTGGCGGTGCTTTTCCTGCCTGTCGTTTGTTTCCTTCATGTGTGTTGTGCTGCTTCTTGCTTTCCCCCTCTCATTCTCTCCTCCTGTGTTCCTGCGTGGGGTGGCCGCATGCTCACGGGCCATGTTGATCGTGAGTGCGTCCTGACGGCATCCATTTATTTTTGTCTGTCTGTCTGTCTGTCATTCCCTGTTGGGTGTGAGGCGTGTTGCACCGCGGGAGGGCTGGCCCGCACACACCGACGGCCCGCCGTGACTTGCCGTGTTGCTGCCTTTTTCTGTGGGCGATGATCCTCCGTGCCGTCCCTTCCGGATTGTCTTATGACTCGCTCTCTGCGTGGGTGCTCTGCTCTGCTCCTCACTGACCTTTCTGGTGTGTTGCCGCTGTTGCTGCTGTACTCTCCAATTGTTGTAAACAGACACGTTAGGAAAGAAAGCAAACAAGCGCTAAACGCTACTGTGAAATTTGAAGGCACTGAAAGGACCAACAGCACACACACCGCCCACACACATATTGATGTGCTCTCACGTGTTGCTGCTGTGAAGGCACCCTGCACACACAACCGTCGCCGCGTGACCGGATCCAGCGGAAGGAGGAGGGAAGGAAGAGAGAGTGAGCCGCAGAGGCCCAACATGTCCCGGCATGTGTTTACTTCCGCGGTGCTGGTCCTCCTCGTCGTGATGATGTGCTGCGGCAGTGGTGGAGCTGCACTCGCGGAGAAAGCGCCAGGTCAGGAATCTTCACCGAGTTCATCTTTCGGGTGGAGAGATGCGAAAGGAGAAACAGTGAGTTCGCTCTATGTTCCCAGTCTTGTTGAGGTGAATGGTGATGTGTTTGCCGTTGCCGAGGCGCAGTGCAGAAGCAATGGTGTCATTTTTTCTTGCATTGCTTCACAATTCATGACGTTGGACGGTAAGAACCCAACAGCCCTGGAAACAACTCGGGTGAAGACAGAAGTACTGGAGGAATGTTCTACCGCTGAAGGGGAATGTCAGTCCCAGTCAGAGAAACGGACTGATTCCCGAAGCCGGACAAGAGTACATGTGAGCCGACCAACAACACTTGGGAGGGAAAATGACATTTACATGCTTGCCGGAATCTACATAAATGACAATTTCCTTAGTTGTAAAGAGGGTACGTCCGACGGGGCTCCATGGGGACTTTTGCTGGTGAAAGGGAACGTCAGTGGGGATAATCAAAAGGAAAAAAGGGTTTATTGGAATGATACTTACGTTATCCCGTGCAGTGTTATTGGTGAAAATGACGACTTCTTGACAGGACACATTGGCGGTGGTGGATCGGGTGTTAGGATGGATGACGGTACGCTTGTGTTCCCATTGGAAGCCGAGAGGAAGAGGGAGGAGGGCGACGCAGAAAAGGATGGAAAGAATAAAAATGTTTCGCTGATTCTGTACAAGTTGGATGATGCGAATTGGAAGTTGTCGAAGGGGATGTCTGACGATGGCTGCAGTGATCCCTCCGTCGTTGGGTGGAAGGACAAACTTCTGATGATGACTGCGTGTGATGATGGCCGCCGCAGGGTGTACGAGTCCGGTGACAAGGGGGATTCGTGGACGGAGGCCCTTGGGACACTCTCGCGCGTGTGGGGCAACGACCAAAAGCGACATGAGAAGGGCATTGGGAGCGGGTTCATCACAGCGAAGATTGAGAACAGGGATGTGATGCTCGTTACTCTGCCGGTCTACACCAAAAAAGAGAAGAATGGAAACAACAATGGGAAGGGCGTACTTCATCTTTGGCTGACGGACAATACGCACATTGCTGATATTGGGCCGGTATCCGGGGAAGCTGAGGACGTTGCCGCCAGCTCCCTGCTGTACAAAAGTGCTGGAAGTGGAGATAATAATGAGGAGAATAAGGAGGGGTTGATTGCACTGTACGAGAAGCGCGGTGGGGGACAATCACCCGGTATGGTCTCTGTGCGTCTGACTGAGCAGCTGAAGCGGGTGAAGGAGGTGCTGGCGACCTGGAAGAAAGTGGACGACCGTGTCTCCAAGCTGTGCCTCACTTCACGTGCTGCGGTGAGTGCCCTAACTGAGAATGCCTGCACTACTGATAAGATCACGGATGGGCTGGTTGGCTTTTTGTCCGGCAACTTTTTTTGGAATACATGGATGGACGAGTACCTCGGGGTGAATGCCACAGTAAAGGAAGGAACGGAAAAAAAAGTGACCAGCACGGAGAAGGGCGTGACTTTCCGGGGAGCGTGGGTGGAGTGGCCTGTTGGCAGTCAGGGGCAGACCGTGCCGTACTACTTTGCGAACTACAACTTCACTCTGGTGGCGACGGTGTCCATCCACAATCTGCCGAGGGGAGATAACCCCATTCCATTGATGGGTGTGCGTCTGGACGGTGGAAAAAAACTTGTGGAGTTGTCGTACGACAGCCAAAATAAGTGGTGGGTGCTGTGCAGTGACGGAACGACCAAGAGGCTCAGCAGCACTTGGGCGACAGAGACACAGTACCAAGTGTCCATTGTGCTACAGAACGGTGCCCAGGGCTCCGTGTACGTCGATGGTCAGCGTGTGTGTGGGAGTGCGCAACGTGGATTGGAAGCAACAGAACCGCAAGAGATCTCCCACTTCTACATTGGAGGGGATGGAGGCAGCGCAGGGGGCCAAGGAGACGTCTCTGTGACTGTGAGGAACGTCCTGCTGTACAACCGCCCGTTGACTTTTTCTGGCCCCGATGCCGAAGTGGAAAAAGATGTTGGGTCACCAGCGGGAGCTGTTTCTCGCACCAAAACAGGGGATGAAATGAAAACGGAGGGGAAGCCTGCCACCACACAGCAAGTGCCGACGGCTCCGGACTCCCATGCCGTTGGGGAAGCAGCGGGTGATGGCGGCACTGTGCGTGGGAGCGGACTGCTGTCATCGCTTCTTCTGCTGTTGGGACTGTGGGGGTTTGCGGCTCTGTGAGGCGTGACTGGCTGCCGCGTGGGACACATGCGACCTCCCCAGCACAGAATTGCTTTCCCGGGAACGAATTTCTGAGAAAACTTCTTTTCATTTTCCTTTTTTTCTATCTTTTTTTGCGTTTTTTTCTGTGCACAATTTTTAAAATTTTCTGAGCGTTTTGTTTTCTGCTTTTTAATTTCTTTTTTTTTTTTTTTAAATAAATCTTTTTCCTATTTTACTTTTTTTTGTTGTGCGTATTTTTCTTTTTTCGTTTTTTAATGTTTTCTCTTTTTATCTCCCATCCCCCATCCATTCTTTTTTTTTTTTGCTTTTGGGGGCAATCAATATGGACGTGTTTCTTTTCTACTGTTCCCTCTTTTAATTGTTTCTTCTGCACTCTTCCTGTGAGGGGTGCCGTGTGTTTCCCGCCCAACTGCTCCACTCGCACACCCACCGACACGCTCATGACGACGGCCCTGTGCGCTTCGCCCGCTGCACGCATGAAGAGGGGCCGCGGACGAGGGCCTGTGGGGCGGAGCATACATTTCTTTCCCTCTTGTTTTTTTGTTTTTATGCGTCGAGGGCCGACAGACACCCGCAGCGCCACACACACACAGCCACACGCTGCCGCCGTGTTTTTCTTTTGTTTTGTTTTCTTTTTTTTGTGGATGGGTGTGTGCTGCCACCGTGCATTATTGTTGAGGTCGGGGCCGTGCCGCATTTATCGCTGCCATCCAGCTGTGCCTCTTGCTGTGCTGATGTGCCTCCCTGTGCTCCTCCAACACACAGAAACAAACACACAATTATTTGCACAGTGCTTTGCAGGAATGTGTTGGCGACGTTGGTCTGCGTCCCGTGCTGGCATTGCGAGGCCGCTGCGTGTGTGCCTGTGCGGTTGGAATTACGGTGCCATCCGTTGGATGCGTGTGGGACGCTCTTTGCATTCAGTTGGAGGCTGGCTGACGCGGCTGCACGATGCCCGCCATGCGTGAAGGTGTTGACTGCTCTTGGGGTCATTCTTCTCCCCTCTTTTCGTTGTATTTGCTCTGCCGGGTGCGGGCGTTGCTCGGTGTGCGCTGACGCGTGACGGACGGTGCCACGATGGCCTCCTCTGACGATGACAGTCGCTGTGTTCTCGGCACACACCCACACACTCTTTCTTGTGTCTCTGTGGGAGTGATTGCAGCAGGGCATTGCTGCGAGCGTGATGGGGACCACGACGGCGTCACCCCTCGAGAAGGTCCCACGCTCTGTTGGTTGTGGAGCGGCGAGGCGGTTTGCCTGCAGCCCGACTGAGAGAACCGCACAGTTGTTTCATTGCGGTCACTCCATCGGCATCACTCGCTGCGGTGGTGTCCGCAAGAGCCGCAGCCCCGATGAGGATGGCCTCGTAGTTATCTAGCAGCTCAGAACTTCAGGCCATTCACTCTTCAGGATCGCCCTTGCTGCTCGACTGGCGCAGCACCATCCCGGCATCGTTCTTCTGCAGGAGTGCAGGCAGCAGAGTGCCCCAGCGACGAGGTTCATTGGCTGCGGTGGCTTCCACCAGGCCTGCAGTGGGCGTGCCGGTGGCGTGGCCTTCTTGGTGCGCCACACCTTGCCGTGCGAGCGCCTGTCGCTCCTGGCACCAACTGCGTGGAGACCACCGCCTTCCGCGTGTGCCCACCGGCCAGCCCCAGCATGTACGCGGTGAAGCTCTGGAGCCTTCCCACGGCAATTGCTCACGCTGCTCACTTTGCGGGCACCATTTGTCGCTTAGGCCTCGCAGCGGTTATTTGCGACCTGAATCTACACCATGAGCTGCGGGATGGTTGCTCACCATCCACGACGGCAGGAGAGCACCTCGCCGCCACCCCAAGCGGCATGGAGTGTGAGCTGTCCGACGACCCGGCACAGGCAACGTGGATCAGCGGCCGCAGCGTATCGTTTCCCGACGTGACTGCGCAACCCGCACTGCGTGTCTCCCACTGGACGTCCACCAGTTTACATGGAGTCGGACCACCATCTGCCATCCCACACTGCAGGGACGGACGACGGCATCCCGCGACAGGCAGGCATGCTGCCACGACGGAAACATGCTGCCTTTGTCCTGCGTGAAGCTGACTGCGATGCTTGCACCTCGGCGTGCGCAACGTCTCTGGCCACTGTAATCTCGTGGCTGGAGACGCACCGAGGCACCGTGCGAGCGGCAGCCGTGACAGTCCCACAGGAATCTGGACGGACGGAATGTAGCAGGCCGAGTGTGTTGCAGCGGCAGCCTGCCACGAGCTGAAATGCACCGCAAAAGGGAGGACCGCAATCATGCCCACCGCCGTGGCTTCTCTACGCTGCTAGAGGTCCGTGCGAAACGTCTTTGTGCCCTCTGGAGCCCAGGCCGTGGGGTGAATTAAAACAACTGACGCATGCTGCATGCGTATAAAAAGCTTATTGGCTTCACAAGAATAAAAAAGACTCACTCTCTCAAAAGGTAAAAATAAAAATAAAAATTCAAGCTTCCGCTGCAAAAGCAAGCCAGCAATCAAAAAAAGGGGAATGGGTGCTCTCAACCACAACACAAGTAAAACTAAAAAAAAAAAAAAAACAAGCGTGGGACGACCAGCGCACACACTCTCATTGCTCCCGTAAAGCAAAACACACACACAGGGAGAGAGAGAGAGAGAGGTCGCCCACTCAATGCAATGAAAAAAAAAACAGTTACGGTGCTCCGCCCATGCAGCCAGGCAGGACGGCAGCGGTGCGTGTCGTGCAAAAGAGAGCACCAACGGGCATGCATGGGTGTGCATGCAATATATACAATGGGCACATTATGTGTGTGCTTCGTGGGATGAGGTGAGGGCGAGAGTCCATGCAAGGGGACACACACAGAGAGAAGGACGAGTGTGTGTGCGGGCGCTGCACGGCTCTCTCTCACTCACTCTCACGCGGCCACCACCGCAGCAGCAGCGGCCGCAACAAGAAGAAGCAAAAGAGGGGAGGTGGTGTGGGAGACCGCGGTGCTGCCGTCACTGTCGACATCCTTCGACTTATCGCCAGTTTGTGGTTTATTTGTTGCTGCGGCTTCCGGAGGTTGGACATCCTCAGTTGTCTTCATCCCAGTGAATGTTTCCTTTTGAAGTGGAGAAGGAATTCCATTTGGATGCGAAGCCGGTGCTTCTTCGTGAGTGGCAGTGGATGTCCTCTGCGCTTTAACTGGGCTGGATGCTGGATTTTCGTTATTTTTTTCTTGGACATGTTCTGTTTCTTGCGCATCAGGCAAATTCTTAGATATATCGGTGTTGTGGCTGTCATTCCCCTCTGTTTCTGGTGTTTTTATTCCATGTGAAGTTTGGGGCTCCGGCTTTATTACGTTTACTAATTCCAGTTGGGCCTTTGCACTGCCTTGTGATTCTGTATTCAGATCCTCTGATGATCCTGCTGTTTGGTGAGTCTCTGATTCCAAGTCTTTTGTCTTTTGTTCTTCCAAAAAGGATGGACCTTCGCTTCCCGGCGTAGCGATACTGCCAACAATATCACCTTTTGCTGCCTTTTCATTGGATAACGAGTGACGTTGAGCCCCTGTTTCTTCAGTTGACAAAACCTCTTTAGGGGATGTACTCT